GCAGCAGCAGCAGCAAACCCTCGGCTGAAGAGAGCTGTAGAGACAGAGGGCGGGCGGCTGACTTCCGCAGGGGTCACCATGTGCGGCCGGAGAGACCAAGACGAAGATGTGAGAATTAGGGTTTGGCGAGGGTTTTGCGAGGGTTTAGAAAGGGTTTTGAGAGGGTTTAGAGAGGGTTTAGAGGGGGTTTAGATGAGGGTTTAGATGAGGGTTTAGGGAGGGTTTGATGGGCTAGGGTTTGGAGGGTTTTGAGGGTTTAGGGGAGGGGCTAGGGTTTGATGTGCGGCCGGAGAGACCAAGACGAAGATGTGAGAATTAGGGTTTGGCGAGGGTTTAGAAAGGGTTTGGCGAGGGTTTTGTGAGGGTTTAGAAGAGGGTTTAGCGAGGGTTTAGCGAGGGTTTAGCGAGGGTTTAAGAGAGGGTTTTGGGGGGGTTTGTTGAGGGTTTGGAGGGCTAGAGTTTGATGTGCGGCCGGAGAGACCAAGACGAAGATGTGAGAATTAGGGTTTGGCGAGGGTTTTGAGAGGGTTTTGCGAGGGTTTTGAGAGGGTTTTGAGAGGGTTTAGAGGGGGTTTAGATGAGGGTTTAGATGAGGGTTTAGAGAGGGTTTAGATGAGGGTTTAGAGGGGGTTTAGAGAGGGTTTAGAGAGGTTTTAGGGGGCTAGGGTTTGAGGGTTTTGAGGGTTTAGGGAGGGGTCTAGGGTTTGAGGATTGAGAGGGTTTGAAAGGGGATTTAGGGTTTGGAGGATTGAAAGGGTTTGGGGGACAGCGAGGGTTTAGGGTTTAAGGGTTTGGGGGATTATGAGGGTTTAGGGTTTTCAAGGGTTTGGGGGATTATGAGGGTTTAGGGTTTTCAAGGGTTTGAGAAATTAAAAGGGTTTGGGAGGGTTTTGAATCAAGAGGGCTTGTTGTAGGGACTGAGGGTTTAGAAGGGTTTAGGGTTTAGAGGGTTTAAAGGGAGAAGGGTTTAGGGTTTAGAGGGTTTAAAGGGAGAAGGGTTTAGGGTTTAGAGGGTTTAAAGGGACCCAAAGAAGCCCAAAAGTAGTGAATGCGCAACTAGGGGAAAGGGATCAACGAGGGTTTAAGGTCTAGGGTTTAGGGTTTAGGGTTTAGGGTTTAGGGTTTAGGGTTTAGGGTTTATTGAAGAAAGACTTGCCGCTGCTCTCGCCTTCCCGTTTCTTCCCCCCACGCCTCGCCAGCCCTCACACTCCCCAGCCCGCAGCCTCCACTGCCTAGGGTTTAGGGTTTAGGGTTTAGGGTTTAGGGTTTAGGGTTTAGGGTTTAGGGTTTAGGGTTTTGCAGACTCTGGTGGTGGACGCTTCGGTGCCGAATTCGCCCTTTCGCCTGAAGGCGCTTTTCGACGGCCACGGCGGCCAGTTCACTTCCAAGTTTTGTTCCAAAAACATTCACACTTTTCTCAGTCAGTTTTGCGTCTTTTTCGCTCATTTTTTGTCCTTTTTGCGCCATTTTGGCTCGTTTTGAATCTCCTTTTTGTCTCCTTTTTGTCTCCTTTTTATTCCCTTTTGTTTTCCCTTTTTAATTTCCTTTTTTTCTGCGTTTTGATCTGCTTTTGGCGCTTGTTGGTGCCCTTTTTGGCTTTTTTTCGCTTCTTTTTCGCTCATTTTTGCTCCTTTTTGCACCGTTTTGGGTCTTTTTGAATCTCCGTTTTGTCTCCTTTTTGTATCCTTTTAATTCCTTTTTGTTTCTCTTTTTTAATCTCCTTTTTTTTGCGTTTTGATATGCTTTTGGCGCTTTTTGATGCCCTTTTTAGCCCTTTTTTGCCCCTTTTTCCCTCATTTTTGCACCTTTCTGGACCATTCTGCAGCTTTTTGAATCCTCTTTTGCCTCCCTTGTGGTGTCCTTTGTCTTCTTTTTTTAATTTCTTTTTTGGCTGTTTTTTGGTCTCCTTTTTGGCGCTTTTTGATTCCCTCTTTATCCCTTTTTGTCCCTTTTTTCGCTCATCCGTGGCCCTTTTTGGGTCACTTTGCAGCTTTTTGGATCTTTTTATTGCCTCCTTGTTATTCTCTTTTGTCCGTTTTTTTGGATTTCTTCTTTCGCTCCTTTTTGCCCTTTTTCGGTGCCTTTTTGATCTCCTTTTTGGCCTCCTTTGGGCCCATTTTGGGTCTTTTGGAGTCTTTTTTGTTTCTTTCTTGGGATCTTTTTTTTCATTTTTTAATTTCATTTTAATTTCCTTTTTGGTTTCTTTTTTGGCACTTTTTGGCTTTTTTTTGGTCTTTTTTTTGTCCCCTCTTTCCCTCGTTTTTGCCCTTTTTGGCTTTTTTGGATTTTTTCTTTTTCTCTTTTTTGTCCTTTTTTTCCTTTTTTAATTTCTTTTTTGTTTTGGAATTTTTAATTTCCTTTTTTCTGCTTCAATCTTCTTTAATGTTTTTAATCTTTTTAAATCTTTTTTAATTTCTTTAAATCTTTTTAAATCTTTTTAATTTGATATCTTTTACTATCTTTTAATCTCTTTAAATCTTTCAATATCTTTTAATTCCTTTGTTTTTGAAAATTAAAAACTTCCCATTTGTCCCCCCGTCAGCCCTTTCCAAACCCTTTCAAAACCCTTTCCAAACCCTTTCTAAACCCTTTCCAAACCCTTTCTAAACCCTTTCTAAACCCTCAAAACCCCTTTCCAAACCCTTTTCCAAACCCTAAACCCTTTTTTGTGGTTTCAGGCGGCCTGCAGCAAGCCACTCCGCAGGCTTTGGAGGCGGCCTTTTTGGAGTTGGACAAAACCCTTCTTCAGGACTGGCGCACGCAGCAGGCGGGCTCAACAGGTCTCTTTTTAAACCCTTTTTAAACCCTTTTTAAACCCTTTTTAAACCCTTTTAAACCCTTTTAAACCCTTTTAAACCCTTTCTAAACCCTCGTAAAACCCTCTTCTTCCTCCCAATTGTCTCCTCTTTTCTCCCGCTTTTTTGGGGTTTTTTTGGTTCATTTTTGTCTCCTTTTTGTCTTTTTTTCTTTTTTATTTTTATTATTTCTTATATTCATTTAAGTCATTTTGTGTTTGAGGCTTAATTAATAGGGACGAATTCGACAAATAGGGTTTTTTGTGTTGAGGGTTTAGGGTTTGTGTTGAGGGTTTAGGGTTTGTGTTGAGGGTTTAGAGTTTGTGTCGAGGGTTTAGGGTTTGTCTCGAGGGTTTAGGGTTTTTGTTGAGGGTTTAGGGTTTTTGTTGAGGGTTTAGGGTTTGTGTTGAGGTTTTGTGGTTTGTTTCAAGGGTTTAGGGTTTATCGAGGGTTTAGGGTTTGCGGAGGTTTTAGGGTTTATCGAGTGTTTAGGGTTTATCGAGGGTTTATCGAGGGTTTACGGTGTATCGAGGGTTTAGGGCGTATCGAGGGTTTAGGGTGTATCGAGGGTTTAGTGTTTGTTGAGGATTTAGGGTTTGTCGAGGGTTTAGGGTTTGTGGAGGGTTTAGGGTTTAGGGTTTGTGGAGGGTTTAGGGTTTAGGGTTTGCGGAGGGTTTAGGGTTTAGGGTTTGCGGAGGGTTTGCATGCAGGAATAGTGGCGTTGATAGAAGAGTTGGAGGAGCCGCGGCTGCTGCTGGTGCGGGGCCGCGAAGTTGTTGCTGCTGCAGCAGCAGCAACACTGCAGCAAACCCTAGACCCTGCAGAAAGGGTTGGGGCCTTTCAGGGGCCCCCCAAAACCCTAACCCTGGGGGGCCCCCAAAACCCTGGCTTCCTCGTCACAGTCGCTAACGTTGGTGCGCGAGGGTTTAGGGTTTACGAGGGTTTAGGGTTTACGAGGGTTTGGGGTTTTCGAGGGTTTGGGGTTTTCGAGGGTTTGGGGTTTTCGAGGGTTTGGGGTTTTCGAGGGTTTAGGGTTTAGGGATGAGGGGGCGTTTGGAAGGGGTGTTAGGGCTTGCCCTGCTGCTGCAGGGTTTATCTAGGGTTTAGGGTTTGTGTCCCTTACCCTTATTCTCTTTCCGTGAAACCCTCCTTTCCCCTTCTGCTGCTGCTGCTGCTGCTGCTGCTGCTGCTGCTGCTGCTGTGCTGCTCTCGTTTTCGCTGCTGCTCCCGCCTCGCCTCCTCCTCCTCCTCCTCCTCCTCCGCCGCCGCCGCCGCTGCTGCTGCTGCTGCTGCTGCTGCTGCTGCTGCTGCTGCTGCAGGGGACTCGCGGGGGACTCTGCTGCACAGCGAAGGGTCCTTCACTTTGCTGTCGAGAGACCACAAACCCACAGCCCCCGAAGAGCTGCGGAGAATCAAAAAGGCCGGAGGCTTTGTCTCCGCGGGCCCCACATCTGTCCCCAGAGTCGACGGCATCCTCGCGCTCTCCAGGGCCTTCGGAGACGGGGTCTGCTGCTGCTGCTGCTGCTGCTGCTGCTGCTGCTGCTGCTGCTGCTTACGCTGCTGCTGCTGCTGCTGCTGCTGCTGGTGGTGGTGGTGGTGGTGCTGCTGCTGCTGCTGCTGCTGCTGCTGCTGCTGCTGGTGCTGCTGCTGCTGGTGGTGGTTTTAATGTTGGTGGCGGTGGTGCTGCTGCTGCTGGTCTTGCTGCTGCTGCTGGTTTGCTGCTGGTGTGTCTGTTGCTGCTGCTGCTGCTGCGTTTTTTGCTGCTACCTGGCAGTTCTTCCTGCATTTTACAGCGCCGAACAGCTGTTTGATTCACATTTATACTATTTATTTATTTATTATTTATTTATTTATTTATTTATTTATTTATTTATTTGTTTGTTTATTTATTTGTTTTTAGTTTTTCAAAGACAACAAAGACTTGAGTCCCACGGAGCAGCGCGTGGTGGCGGTGCCGGACGTTCACGTTTTCTACGCGAAGCCGGGCGACGTGCTGATGTTGGCGTGCGACGGTGAGCTGGAAAAGGGAAATAAAGGAATAAAAGTGGAAATAAATAATTAAATTGATTAAAAATAATTAATTTATTCTTTTTTATTTCCTTTTTTCCTTTTATTCGACACTTTTCCGGCGCCCGGGCGACGCAGGACGCAGTTTCCAGCCCCGGGTGTACAGACACCTCAGCGGCTGCTGCGGTGTACAGACACCTCAGCTGCTGCTCAGGTGTACAGACACCTCAGCTGACGCCATTTAGCTTCTTCATTTGCTTCCTCTGCGGCTGCTGCTAGGGTTTCCCGGCTTTCCCGCGAGGGTTTAGGGTCTGGGTTTAGGGTTTAGGGTTTAGGGTTAGGGTTTAGGGTTTAGGGTTTAGGGTTTGCGCAGGGGTTTACGAGCCGGAAAACATGGACTGGGTCTTCGTCTCGCACTTCGTAATGACTCTTCTTCACGAACTTAAAAACGATTTGACAGAAGCAGCAGTTAAGCTCCTCGAACAGGCTTTCCATTCTTTCTCTGGAGACAACATTTCTGTGCTTCTTACGAGGTTCGCGGCGAGGGTTTAGGGTTTAGGGTTTAGGGTTTAGGGTTTAGGGTTTAGCGGTTGTTGCGGCGTGGGGCCTGGGCGTGCGGTGCGGGGTTTCGGGTTGGGCGCTGGCTCCTGCCGTTCACCGCCTTGTAGGGTTTAGGGTTTAGGGTTTAGGGTTTAGGGTTTAGGGTTTAGGGTTTGGGGTTTGTCTTTAGGTTTGAATCGGGGGAACCCAAAGAAAGGAGGTTCAGGCGCTTTGAAGTCACTCCGGAAGGTCTGCTGCTGCTGGGGCTGCTGCTGCTGCTTGCAGTTGCAGTTGCTGCTGACGGTTGCCAATCTGCTGCTGCTGCTGCTGCTGCTGCTGCTGCAGTTGCTGCGTCTTTCACAGCAGCAACAGCAACAGCAGCAGCAGCTTCCCTGTGTCGTGGCTGTCCTCCCCGTTTGGCCAGCGCCTCCCGCGTCTCTAATGCTCCGCGTTGCGTCCCCCTGCTGCTGCTGCTGCTGCTGCTGCTGCTGCTGCTGCTGCTGCTGCTGCTGCTGCTGCTGCTTTCAGGCCACGTTGTCTCCAAAGAAGGCGCCAACGCGGACTTGACGGGAAAGACAGAAGAGGAAAGCATAGAGCTGCACAAGGGGCCGATGAAAGCAGCAGCAGAAGGCCCCATAACTCTTTAGCTGCCACCCCTGTGCTGCTGCAGCAGCAGCAGTTTGCTGCTGCAGCAGTTTGCTGCTGCAGCAGCTGGCTGCTGCTGCTGCTGCTGCAGCGCGCGGGGCCAGTGAAGGCAGCAGCACGCAGGCCTAGCACTCTTCAGTCGCCGTCCATTTACAAGTCCTGCAGCAGCGTGCTGCTGCTGCAGCATTATACTGGTGCTGCTGCAGCTGCTGCTGCTGCAGCAACATACTGCTGCCGCAGCAGTATACTGCTGCTGCAGTTCACCGCTGCTGCAGCAGCAGCGGCACAAGGTGCCAATGAAGGGGCAGCAGAAGATGGCCCCACAACAGTATAGCTGCCATCCGTGTGCATCTGCTGCTGCTGCAGCATATTGCTGCTGCTGCGGTATAGTGCTGCTGCTGCAGCATATTGCTGCTGCTGCGGTATAGTGCTGCTGCAGCAGCATACTGCTGCAGCAAAACACTGCTGCTGCTGCAGCAGAGGCACATGGTGCCAATAGAGGCAGCAAGAGATGGTCCCTCAAGTCTATACTTCCATCTCTAAACTGCTGTTGCAGCAGCAGCGGCTGCAGCAGCAGCAGCTGCAGCAGCAGGAGCACAAGGAGCCAATAAGAGCAGCAGCAGACGGCTGCATGATTCTTTAACTGCCGTTTGCATGCGCGTGCTGCAGCTGCTGCAGCCGCTGCTGCTGCAGCAGCAGCTGCTGCTGCTGCTGCTTTCTGGCTCCATGGGGGCCCCTCTCGGGGGGCCCCTGCTGTGCCCTATGCGCAGCTTATTTGCTGCCTTAGAGAATGCATGCGTTTGTAAAAAGCCCCAAAACTTTGGGGCTGTTTCTGCTGCATGCAGTCGAGCCAGGTGTGTGCACACACTTGGGGCAGGTGAGGCTTTGCTGCAGCTGCTGCTGCTGCTGCTGCTGCTGCTGCTGCTGCAGCGGAGCCTTTTGCCTGCTGCTGCTGCTGCTGCTCCGGCAGCTGCAGCTGCAGCAGCTGCAGCTGCTGCTGCAGCCGCGGCGGGAGGGGAACCTTCACACTGGCGGCGCTTGAGGGGTTCAAGGGCTTCACAGCAGCAGCTGCTGCTGCTGCTGCAGCTGCAGCAGCTGCTGCAGCAGCAGCTGCAGCAGCAGCAGCAGCAGCAGCAGAAGTGCCCTGCAGTGTGGGGCCGGTTTTTGTGTCGCCGCGGGCCTAGTGAATTAGAAAGTATTTTTTCTTGCGGCTGCAGTTCGCAGCTTTTGAACAAGTCCATTTGTTGCATCTTTTTAGAAATTTTATATTCGAAAAGTCCAGAAAGTACTTTTTAATGCATGCAAGTGGCTTTTTAGCAGGTCTTTGGGGCTTTTAAATGCACTGCTTCTTGCATGCGTTTGCTGCATGCGTTTGGGGCTTTTGAGTCTCAAATTCCGAAAGAAAACTATTCCAAATGCATGCATTCAAAGCCTTTTTGCAAAAAGAATTCAAAAGCATATTTTCAATTAATGCCATTAATGCCATTAATGGCATTAATGGCATTAATGGCATTTTTCATTTTTGCTCAAAACACTTTGCACGAAAAGTCGTGCTGCATGCATAAATAGAGTTGCTAACAATAAAGTATTTCTTTTAAATGCTGCATGCATAAATAGATTAAATAACAATAAAGTATTTCATTTAAATACTTTTGTTAAAAAGAAAGAAATATAAAAATGATTTAAATGCATTTATTTGTTTAATGCGGCTGTTTGTAAATTGCCGTGTGCACTTGTTTACTTTTGCACTTAATTTGCATGCATTTATTTGTTTACTTTTGCATTTAATTTGCATGCATTTGTTAAACTTTGCATTTAATTTGCATGCATTTATTTGTTTACTTTTGCATTTAATTTGCATGCATTTATTTGTTTACTTTTGCACTTAATTTGCATGCATTTGTTAAACTTTGCATTTAATTTGCATGCATTTATTTGTTTACTTTTGCATTTAATTTGCATGCATTTA